GGTCAGAAAAGGTTCAGAAACACCTTTGACAAAAGTGTTAACTCGACATTCTCTGAAGCTGATGATCACCTGCTAACTCGCTTCCATGGACAAAGTTTCTTCTGTCCTGTTACTTCTTTCGCTGCTATCAATGACGAACTACTACTGCCAGCACTTGGCAGCTCTTTCAGATTCTCTACTGTGCTGGATATAGAATCTGCCTTATATGGCCTACACTGCATGTCACACCAGTTCGGTGTTCACAGCGACTACTCCGACATATAAGAAGTGTTAGCGGAGCTTCGAAGTTTACTGCTCGTCATCTGTGATTTATTTAAGAACTCCTTCAATTTTTTTTCATCGAGCAAGAGGGGGGAGGGGAGAAACGGGGAACCCCTCTCTCACTTAGCAACCAAATATATTTTGAAGATAAGTAGCATGCTCACCTGCTTATGAAGCCAGTATTCTTTCCTTGTTTCAAGCATTCAGAAGTAAATCGTCCAGGCATCTCCAACTCTTCGGTGATTTGCAATGATTGTATCAGAATTTCATCAACACCAAAAGGCTGTAAATGATGAACGCGGTTGTGGACCACTACGTTAGTTTCCGTGTTTTTTGTTGAACCAACCTTGGAAGTTAAAATGCTTTGTAAAGGAAAGTGTTTCATAGAGGCAGTGCGCGGCAATTAATGCGCGTTTAGCCGTTAGAAGACTGAGTTCCAAGTTTGCAAGGAGCCGTTCAGTGGCAGAAGTACACGGAACTCTACTTTGCGGCGCTGCAGTGTTGTAAGCGACATAACGGGAAAGAGACATCGGCAGACGCGTCCTCTTGCCACCAGCTTTTTTTTCCACAAGAACGTTATGAATAAGTTTCGACCTCGAAGGAATTCGAGCACACATCACCCACAGCGTTACTGTGCTATCTTATCATTAAAAAAAACCAGTGGAGGAAATGTGAAGCCCCCAGGCTCGGATCCACTGTTGATTGGCTGCAGAAGCGGCTCATGAGCTCAGAGCTTTGACATTCAAGGCAGATCCCGTAATTTAAAAAAATGGAGGGTAAGCTGGCTAATAATAATGTGGTGGTTAGCTCAGTTATGGGAAACAGAACTAAAAGGGCCCCACTCTTCTCCTCCTGGTCGGAAAGAGTTAGTAACGGAACAATCGAGTCAGAAAGCGTTAAGAAATGATTGTTGCGTGTTAAGTGTGTCAGCTGAAGGAGCACTGTCTTCATTACCATCAGGTAATGTCATTTACATTAGAGCTGCAAACGTGGTGCACAGAGTACAGTATAGTTGTGGGAACCGCATCGATGGGTCCGTAAGCGCACGAGCAGCTCACGAGCGGTGAGCACGGAACAGCGCAAAATTGTCATCGCCTGATTTTGAGAAGCAGAACTAGCTTCGTAGAGAACCCGGACATGTGGAAGACACAAACTATTAGAATAACTAACTATCATTATTACTGCTTAGTTAACTTCGTAGGTACGTAGATGACTAAAGAGTACAAGGTTCATTCGTGAGGGTTTTTCAAAGAGTGTGAAAACATCTGCTTTCGGGGTCAACACAAATACTTACCATTGAAATGTACACCTTTCCACCACCTCTGCGTGGGAGAGTATTGCACGGCGCACACCCGCACTGAATTGGTCTTACTCACTTCAACGAAAAGTGTGTCTCGAAGTGCGTAGTCAGGTTTGCGGCTAAGAGAGCGGAAAATGTTGGACACGATAGGATTTGAGTAGGCACAAGTAGTGAAGAAAGACACCCACTCTGGGCGGGGCGTATGTCGCTTATTCCATTCCCTGAAGTATTTCCCAAGTTTTTCACGATGTGTCTGAGGGCGCGACCATGAACCACAGTTTATTAGAGCGCAAAGAATGACAACGTGTTATAACTAGATATAGTACGGTAGAAGTTCGAAGAAGGGGAGTGATGTGAGCGGCGTGGCCTATCTCGGAACAAGAGGGAGGTGCGGACAGGCTGCAGAAATAAGTAGACGAACCATCTCAACTGTACCCTGAGGGCTTTCATGCCACCCCTCCTGCGTGATTTACGTACGGTGCTCGAAGTGCGACGAATCGCGACCTTGCCTCTCAATCTGTCCCCGCGTCCTTTGGCCATGCCCCCGTCGGCGTACGTGAACCAAGCGTAACTGTGGACGGGGCTTCAATCAAAGTACTACCTCCTCTACAAGTTTAGGAGCTATTATTCCTCTGCTTATACCCGGCTTCGTTCTGATAATCTTAAAGGTTTGCGTCCAACGGTGGACAGAGGAGAGCTGCCGCAATTCTCTTCTACGGCTCTTCAACTCGCCAATGCGTTCTCAACAAATTGCAAGACATGTTTATGATTTAGAGGACGTCTCTCGAGGAGGAAGGACATGTGAAGTATGCGGTGAATGTAATGGTAAAAAATGAAGATTACCAAACATTTCGGGTAGTATGGCTACTGGCCTTGTTTGTAAATCCGACGATCCGGTCCGATCCAAGTACATTTTCTAGCAGAGGAAGATCATATCACAATTGTTCACGTTAGACATGGCAATACCAATTTGTTTTCGCTTCACTTAGAAGTAACACTTCGCTTTCACTCTCTCACCGCACCCATGACCTCTCAGTGAACGCACCTACAC